CTGTTTTTCCCTCAAGCAAAGCTAATTAATTATCAATTAGGAAATTGAACTTTGTAAAAAGAATACATGGTAAGCAGTCAGGGCTTCTAAGAAAAATTAAATAGAACTCCCAAGAGGCTCATGCAGTGTCTGGTCCTTGGATGCAGCTCTACCCACACTTCATGCCCTTCTGTGCTTTCATCGGAGTCAGAGATGGAACTATCACTTCAGGTGGCGGCTAGAGCCAGGTTTGTAAGAAGAGAAATCCTGCCCGGTGGTCCTCATGAGTACCGCTTAGACTCAGTGGGCAAGCTTCGCTCTCACTGTGAAGATGGCAACGGGGTAGATTTGCATTGGTGTTCTGGTGCATTCCCAGCGATGGCTTGGGAAAGGAGTGGATAAAATTCTGCTTCCAACCGGTGAAGACAGGCTTATTTCCAAAATGCCTTTGAGAAGTCCTGGCCGGTGGTATTTATTGATAAGGCAACTTAAACTGCAAACACTGGTAAAGACATAAACTGGCTGATGTCAGGCTCATTCCCTGAAGGGGACTTAACCCTGCTAAGCTTGTGAAGGAATCTACAGGGACTTCTACCTCAAAGTGAAAGGCTCATCTCCAACCACTAATTTCACTATTGCCACATCTGGGGAGAAGTGCTTCCCCCCATTTAAAAGAAAGCATACAAAAATTCAATTACTGAAAATTGTCTTTGAACTTGAGTTTAACTTGAGGCTGTGAGAGGATATTTTGATTTTTAAATTACATTTATTTATTTATTCATTTATATGTATGTGTGTGCCACAGCATGGGAATGGAAGTCAGAGAACAACTCTAGGAGTTGGTTCTCTTCTTTAAAACCAAGTGGGTCCTGGGAAACCAAACTTGGTCATCAGGCTTGGCAACAGGTATCATTATCTGTTGAGCCATCTCCCCTGGCCATCTCCTTTGAGATTCAGCAAGAGCAATGGCTGATGTAGCTCAGTCCCTGATTGTTTAATAAGCATTTCTCCTTCACAGTATGCCAGGGTGGAACACTTGCTTTGTATTGTGGTGATGCTGACAAGGTTTCCAGTAAGGAAGGATCTGGCTTGATATATAACTCAGATGCTTCCTTGACATCTTTCCTGGAAGGAAACTTCCCTCCCTAATACCATAGCTACATACAAACAAGCAATCCATCACCGCCAGGGATCCTGGGCTATTTATACCATCCCCCTAGCTCCATAGAAGGAATGACTATAGCCTATGTCACATAAAAGGGACGTTGTTTTTCTCTTTATTAGTTCAATGCCATTTTCTATTGTCTCCTGTTTCATAATATTCCTTCTATATTTTCTGGCCTTTGGAATGCCAGTGAAGACATTACAAATGCCATTTAACCATTACTGAGAAAGCAACTTCAAGGATGCTCACAAAGACATGTGTGTATGTGGAACTATGTCCAGGGAGGAGAGCAAGTCCCCTGTACAGAGACAGGGCTTTGAGAGACCATTTCATGTCAATTTTGGTACTAGGAAATACTTTAAGTGGATTAATGTACAAAGCCAACTTACCTTCTGACTTTAACATGTACAAAAGGGTGCTCATTGTGGACCATGGTAATCAATAAATGATAACACAGTACAGACTGTGGAGCATTGGATTAATTTATTTCTTGTTAATTTATTTAACTTGAATGCAATGCTACCTCTGTGAATCCTTCTATCTTTGGAGTTAGCCAGCAAAGCATACAGATCAACACCTTCAAATACTTTAGTATTTGTTACGAAGGTGTCCTCAAATTTTTTTATTTCCCAAATATGATGGGAATTTGATCCCTGATGCATATCCCAGATTTTCTGCATTTTTATAATTTTCAAAAGAATGTTACAATTGCCTTGAGCAGAAATGGAATATGATTATGACTTGTTTTTAGGAGAAGGTGAATGTTAACCATGTCATCATTTCTGATTCTACCATATTCAACCCTTTATCAATGAATTCATTTTTATAAGAGCAGTATCTTTCCCCAAGTGAGAAATGGCTTTATGCCTGTAACACAGGCTTTATACCCATGAAGGACCAATGACATCAACGATGATGGGGAGAAACAGAAGCCTCAGTTTCTGTCTAAGGTGATGTCAGTGCCTTCACTTTAAGGTTTAAAATTTGGTACTATGCAGTCACAGGATTTTAAATATGAAAGAATTTGGGGCCATGTGAACCTTTGGGGAAATATATGTTTTGGTGGGTGTGAAGAACTGGCTTAATAACCTTTAGATAAAATGAATTATTGCAGGAGAATCAATTCTGTTTTCATCTCATCACTAATGCAGGTAAAATTTTAAAGTCCTAAAATTTACCAGAAAAAGACTTACACATTCAAGAAGGTGAGAAGCTAATTAAGCTAATTACAGTCAAGAAGCTAATTAAGGTAAGAAGGGAGGCTCTGGGCCATTTCGAAGACTTCCTATCCCCAGAAAGCTGGATCAAAGCTTTGGGTGGGGGTGGGGAGATGGAGTGGGTACCACATTTAGATTTAATCCATTATATTCTTATCCTAAGATTTTTCTCAAACCTTTAGCTGATGCGGCTATTAAGAAAGTATTCTACCACACAGAGCAATTATAAAATTCGTCATACTCTAATATCCCTTTGTCTTATATTAAGGTAAATTACATAGTATTTGACAACCAAGTAATAGACACCAACTTTACAGCCACTTGCCTGACTACAGCAATGGATTCCACATGCTAGGCAAAGTGTAAACAATAAAAAGTATCCATGTGCCATTGATATCAGTGTTTTTAAAGCTTTTAAAATGCTTGACTGCAAAAAAGAAATAGTCCATTTGGCAGGGCATCTTGTTAGGTCTATATTCCTCAATGAAGAATGTTTCATGTACAGGACAATTATTCTGTATTATATATTAATTATATCGTATCACATCCATTCCATCCCATTTCCTTTTCTTTCAATATGAGTCTAGAACCATTCAATTGATTCCATTACAATGGGCTGAAGTTTGAATCTGGGAAGCCCCGACTTGCCTACTTCATTTCTCTGTAGATCTTCCTGCTCATGAAATATTTCTGGCCACAAAGGAGTAAACAGAATAGACAATGAAAGGGCAAGGTTGTGGCCAGATCCATGGACAGGTCATCTACAAGACAGGTAGGCAGCTGTCTGCATAGCTCAGAGTTTCTAGAGAAGGGCCTGGTCCCCGCACAGTGTTAGGTCATGTTGACCTGTCACGGAACTGCCACTCACACCATCCAGAGTCCGAGTCCTTCTTGAACATTTAGGAGATGGCAAGACTTTACTTGCAAGATCTGTTTTTTCCCCATGTTTCCCCCAGGAATTATCTGACTGCCTGCTGAGTACAGAGTAAGGTTAGGTTTAGTGCCTAACTCTATGTAGTACAGTATAGTACTGTCCTGTACAGTATAGTACAAGAGTTCTGTGTCCAGAAGGAGGAAAAGTGGAGGTGAATCAACAGGGGTGGGGAGCTGCTCAAGATAAAATCTGACTATTTTACACCCTGACCTTAATCTCCTTCAAAATGCAAAAGAAAAAAAAAAGCTGAAATGATTGAGAATGGTAAGAAGAATGGGGTGGTGAGATCTAGATTCTACTTCTAGGAAAACTTTTAATGTGCAGGTGCTTGGCAACAAGGCATATATGTCACTGTGCATCTCTTCATTCATGATTGTCAACAAAGTAAGCATGTCGAAGTCCAACCTTCTGATTTGGAGATCGAAGTTAATGCTTGTATTTGTTTTCTCGAGACGAGGAACAGCAAATCGGAGGCCCAGAGAAAACTAAAAGCAAAACACAACATACATGAGACACAAGGGTATTCACAGGAGGACCCTATCCACAGTGTGACAGTCTCCCCTTAATTCTCCCTCCACCCCTGCTCCGACCACCATCACAGCCTTTTATCTCTTCCTCTGGATGTCCGGGAGATAAGAGGAAATCTGCAAGGAGACCACAGGGCCCAGAAGACTCAGTCCAACGCACACGGGCTCTGTCTGTTTAGCCTTGTTGCCCTCTTGTGCTACCTCTCTGATGCAAAACTTCTAACAACACAAACATAAGACTTAGAGAACTGCGATGCTTCTGTGTGATGGATGAGGGAGTAGTTGTGGAGATCGCAGCTGTGAAGCCAACGCAATAATGCAGGCGATACTTCTAATATAAAGATGTTCAACCAAGAACAAAGGTTGCAGAGTTCTGTGTGCTGTGTATGTTAGCTGTGGTTGGAAAGTCCAAAATTACTATATGTTAAGAACAGTGCACGTGTACTTTAAGGAGTACACTATTCCAGGAGAATATGTTGTCAGGTTGGGGTTACGGTTGTGTGGATTCCTTTGTCCTCCTTTATTTTCCAAATTGTAAAAAGTGCTCTTAATATTTTTGTGTTCTGAAAACAGGTATTTAAATGGGGGAAAAGGGATCCCAGGGGGAATCTGGACGAGGAAGTGAAGATGATTACTAACATATGCACAATGACACCATCTGTATACACTATGGTGCTACATGGTCGTCCAAGCATTGTTCTATGCCCTGTTTGCCTTATCTCAGGAACCACAAACTCTCTTAGGTAGGACAGTTATGTTGACATCCTCCAACCTAATAGCTATCTGAGGATTAGAGTGACCAAGGGCCCTGATCCAGGCTCAGAACAAATAAAGGGCAGGACTGGAATTCCAATCTCTGGAAGGCACATTCCAGAAACAGTCCTCACAGCTATTGCACTGTGAGAATAAAGCTACCAACAAGAAGCCAAAGTTACAGGAATGACATACAATCATTTATCGTAACTCTTCCTTCCCATGGTCCTTACCTGATGTGTTTGGGCTATATGCGTGCACGTATATGTTTGTGTGTGTATGCACATATATGTGCAGGTACATGTGCACATATATGTGGAAGCCAGAGGTTGACATTGGACCTCCCTTTCTATAGCTCCCCACCTCATCACCTCATTTTTATTTCTGTTTTAGTTTGACATGATCTCTCACTGAACCTGGAGCCCAGGGATCTTTCTGTGTCTGCCTCGCCAGCACTTGGTTTCCAGCTTGGCCCCAAAGCACCTGGCTGGGGAGAGCACACGAGTCTTGATTATAAAGGATGTGCATCACTTTATGCCCCAGTGAGGAACTACTTTACAATTTCAAACATGTCTGTTTTCTGTTGGACCTCAGCATATGCTTTTTTCTCTTCTTTGAAAGATTTTTATTTTTACTTTGTGTTGCTTTTTCTACTTCAAGAGCTTCTGAAAACTCAGGCTTCATAACTCAGGATAAGAGAGGTAAGGAACTGGCTGCTGCCATGGCCTAAGACAGGTACGTTTTCCTTCCTTAACCCCTGTCTCCATTATTATTCTTTTTTTACACAGCCTACAATGTTGCTAATATCAAGTGTCCTGTTACATAGTAATAATGCACTTCTATATTATCTTATCAGGTGTTTACTAAGTAGCAGACTTATGGGGCTATATCAAGAAGGGTGTGATAAAAAATAGTTGAAAGAATGGGAGTGTGTCCTTGTGTACACTTGCAGCATATTGTGATGAAGGCTGCCTGAGATTGGTCCTTATTACAGAACAATCCATATAAAGTGAAGACAGACTAAGACATGACAATTTCCTACTGGTAAGCATCCCAGGCAGGAGATGGAGAGAGGATGACTCAGTGGTTAATGAGCCCTTGCTGCTCATTCTTTTCTGGTCCCCGTGAGTAATTTCACACATGTGGCACATACTTTCTCACATATACCCATACACATAAATAAATAAAATAAAATTTCAAAATAGTCATTATATATTAACTAAAATATGCATGACAAAATATTAACTAAAACATTTTTGGCCTATCTGTCTTTCTTTTGTGGGGGAGAAATTTGCAAGTTATAAACTTTATCAGCATATGAAAACTATTTTATATCACCAACAACTACATGTAAACAACTTTTCTCTTTAAAAATCAGAAGTCAGACTTCCGATTACCCAGTTGACAAGTTTAAATTAAAACTGAAAGTCACTTGAAAACTTTTTGTTTTAAATATTGGGCCTGGGATAATTATTCCCGGTGATTTATTTATTTGAATCTTTTAAAATACCAAGGCTGCATTTCCATCTGCAATTTGCTCCACTCCATGGACAGAGAGTGTTTTTTTAAAAAAAATGAAGAAGTGAGTGAATCAACATGTTTTATACCAAAACAGAATGCAATAAAATCCGATGTGTTTGAGGGCATTAAGGGGCAAGATAAGAAACCAATTAGCTTTCTTCTACTAGGGACCCAGAGATAAATGAATCTAAACAATTTACTTCCCTGCTTTCTCAAGATTATTTGCTGGTAAAATGGATTGATAGCCTCTCACATAAACACTTCCACGGTCCAGACCACACTGCCATTTCTACCCTTTTCTCCGTGTGGCACTGGTGGGCAGCTTTTTGTCTAGTTTTAGTCACAGTTATTGGTACCTTTAGACTGTCTGCAGTCTAGATTTAACACTCTCAGTATGAAGGAGAATGAGGGACCCTATTTATAGACACTGACGTTGTCACCCTCATGTCAAACTAGTTTCTTCTTGTCTTTTAGCTAAATATCTTTATATTACATCGAGTGGTTGGATTTATTTCCTTGAAAACTAGCAAAAACAATTGCTAGTTTCTAACTAAAAGGATTATAATGGGCAAATGTCCCATTCTGTCTGTCATATCTTCTTTTTAACATCCATCTGGTGTTCACTAGTTTTCATTCAAGTACTTTCTACAGCGTTAAAGACCAGATAGGACTTGGGCTTTGTGGTCAGGCCTGGTTGGAATCTTGGTTCTGCCTTTCATCATCAGTGTGACTCAAGGCAGCATGTTTGACTTTTCCAGGCCAGAGTGTCCTTGTCTAGAAAATCGGTGAGATGCAGTAAGATAACATTAAAGGAGTTATTCTCTAGTGATGGCCTTAGAACTCAGAGGCCATTCAGTCCATGAGAACTAACAGTAATCTGTTACAGGGATTTGACTTGCACTAAAATAGTTAAGTTAATGAATTAATTTTTTATACAAGAAGTAAGTTTACATGATTCCAACTAGCCACATTTTTTAAATACCCAAGACCAGTTCAATACAATAGTGTAAAGGGGTAAAACTATTATTTGAATGTACGCTGTCCTGGAGTGAAAATTGGGAAGAGGTATTATTTAAGAAGTTGCAGATATGCAGTTAAGTTTGTGAAATAGTGAGATAAAGACTGATTTGCTAGAATTATCAGCACCTTTGAAATCTAATCTGGGCCCTCCCCAGGGATACACAGGATAGGAAGCATTGTTGCCTAGAGCCCCCTTTAAAGGATGGCCAAGGGGCATCACTGTTTAGAATCCACCCGGGAGTGTCCCTATGAAAACCGATGCAATCGTAAAATTTCACAAAGTTCTTTTCAAACAGAACATTTCGCTGATGACAGAAACATCCAATTTTAAATAGAGGATTACGTAAGTTCTCTTTATGGTGATTTAATTGTGTAACTTTTTCAGATTTCAGAATTTGTTGCCTGGCTTCAAAATTGCCACTGTTATATTTATTATGAGGTGGTGGTGTTGAACAGTTAAACTGTAGTTGGATAAAATAACTTTCTTGCCTACATGTCATCCTGAGGCAAGGCCTGTTCTCTCTGTTCTCTCACAAGATCAGTACTCGGCTTATCTTCCTTCCACTATGATGATCTTTGTATTATTTTTCAAATCTATTTATTTAAAATTGATTGATTGATTTCTGTGCATGCATGCGTGTGTGCGTATGTGTGAGTATGTGTATGTGTGTGCACGTGTGGGCACATGCATGTTTGTGCACATGCATGTCACATGTGTTCAGGTGTTCATGGAGGCCAGAAGATGGTGTTGGACCCACTAGAGCTACAGTTATAATTGGTTGTGAGCCACCCCATGGGGTGCTGGAAACCAACCTCTAATCCTCTGGAAGAAAGCGGCACTCTAACTGCTGGGCCTCCTCTCTACCCCTATTTTTCAAACACACACCTAGTAAAGACCATTTACAAACCAGAGCGTGACTATTTTTAATATGAAAATAGTACGATATTCATCCAGGTGGCATATTGGAAAATAGTTTTCTTTGCTAACGATTTAAAATTGTCCTCCACCCTCTATGGACAGAGTGTCATACAGCAGAGGCTGGCCTTGAACTCACGGCAGCTTGGGGTGATCTTGGATTTCTGCTCCTCTTTCCATCAACTCTTGAGTGCTGGCATTACAGGCATGCGACTGCACTCTGCTTGGTTTACATGGTGCTGGGGATGGAACCCCAGGTCTTTGTGTGTGTTAGGCAGGCATGCTACCAAGTAAGCTACATTCTTAGCCCTGCAAAGTAGCTTATTTTACAGGTTTTTAACTGAATGTTGTAGTTTTAAAATAAAATCTATATTAGAATTAAAAGAATCAAAGGCAAAAGTCTGAGGCACACATGTTGCCACCGACTTGCTGTGACTACAAGATGTGATATGTGATGTCTATAGAGAAAGTATGTGAAAGCATAGGTCCTTGTGTGGCTTTGACCCGCCATTATCACTCCACCTAGGTTAACGTGCTAAATCCCTCTATGCCGGGAATTTCCTGGGCAATCTGTTTTAGCTGCTGTTGGCTGGGTGCTAATTGGGGGAGTTTTCCACTAGTCCTCTATAAAATTCAATTAGTCAGAGATCAGTAAGGAATGCCGGGATCCGCTTACATTTGTTCCTGTCACCATCGGGTTCCCAAGGTCACACACCACCATCCTGGTCACGTTTTCCATCTTGTACTCGCAGCTCAGTGGCCTCAGTCCCTACAACAGGAAAAGAACACCGTTGTGGAGTTCAGGGGCAGAATGAATTCCATCCTGTTGCCTGCGATGTGGGAGGCCTCAGAGCTCCCCTTGATTTCAAACACCTGTGTGGGTCATGCTCCAAGTTAATCCAATCGGGTACCTTTGACTCAAGAGCAAAAACCAGAGGAGAAAGTACAACTTAAACTTTAGGGGAAATTGTGTAAACACATGTTTTGTTGAGGAATAAGAGGTTCCAACAGTATTTATGTGGACATTTTGTACTTTCACTAAATCTTAATGTTAAACTTAGAACAGTGAGATGAAAAAGTGACCAAATATGAGCAAACAGATTGATTCCTTATATTACTACCACAAAAGTGAAACTATGGGGATGCACACAGTTGTTATGTCTCCATGGCCATCTGTAGGGGAATTGCCCGGAACCCAGTTTTCTACACATCACAGAGGAAGTTTAAGGTGACCCCTTTGTTAGATCTTATATGTCAGATCCTTCAAATCTTTAAGATGTAATTTAAAAAGTTAAGTTTTTAGATTAGCATACAAAGGGATGAGTTTTGTTATGGTGTTTTCTTTATTTTTTTAAAAAACATTTTATTAGTGTGTGTGTTTGTGTGTGTGTGTGTGTGTGTGTGTGTGTGTGTATGTAAGCACACATTTGTTTAGGTGACTTTGAAGGCCAGAAGAGGGTGTTGGATCCCTGGATTTGGAGTTACAGGCATGACACCATTGAATCCTCTCTCAGCCCTTATTGGGGCATTTTTGTATCTATGTGCTATACATACATTGCTTCAATAGTCCCCACCTGTACTGGACCCTGTGTCCTCTGATTAATGTTTACGATTTGTGTTTAACTGGTTCTTCCTGTCTATGCCCCTCTCTCTACACCCCATCCAGATTAGAATTTGTGAATACTCCAGCTTGAGGAGGTGCTTTTTCTCATCTGGGTAACTGTCAGGGTTGGGCAGTTGACAACAGGGTACAGAGAGCATTCTTTGCAGCCTTCTGCCCCTCCCAGTATGACTGATGTCTTCCTAGGTGGGTGGAAATCCATCTTCACTCTCCATCCCCATTCTCTTTCCAGCTTTCAAAACCTGAGGGTGTATTTGACAGCTTCTTGTTTTTTTTTTTTGTTGTTGTTTGTTTGTTTTTTGTTTTTCGAGACAGGGTTTCTCTGCGTAGCTTTGGAGCCTGTCCTGGAACTCACTCTGTAGCCCAGGCTAGCCTCGAACTCACAGAGATCTGCCTGCCTCTGCCTCCTGAGTGCTGGGATTAAAGGCATGCACCACCACCGTCGCCTGACAACTTCTTACATGACTCTATCACTTCACTCTAAGTCATTCTATGCCATCAAATCGTGGCTTGCCACCTTCATCCCCTAAGATAATATATGGATGGCTTTCATGATGGAGCACCCTTTGGGGAACTTCTAGGAATTCAGTAGATGAAGGTTTCTACTGTGATGATCTCTCACT